CGACATGTTTATTTCGAGGCTTTAAAGGGACTGAAGAACAAACAGGTCAGTGTTTATTTATTTTTAGACTTTTTTGTGCTTTATTTGATTTTATTAAACTGTATTTAGATTTTGTGAGGAGCTGATGATGATGATGCTGTCGGTCCTTCAGAGGAGAACGTGGAAATGATGAACTCAGAGCAGTGTTCCTCTAAACTTTAATGTAACTCTGTACATTCCCACGTTAGACAGCAGCAGGTGTGTGTGTGTGTGTGTGCGCGTGTGTGTGTGTGTGCGTGTGCGTGTGTGTGCGTGTGCGTGTGTCAGTCATACGCCGGCTGGATCTCTGTCACTGGGAGCTGGTGATAAACTGGCTCCACTTCCTCCTCTTGCTGCGTCCGTTTCTCTCTGCTGGGAATCATAACTGGGACTCTGACCGACGCCTCCGTCCACTGCTGGTTTATGGTGGGAGAAGTTTGACTTTAACTGATGCACTGAAGACGAACTTTGAAAGCAGAGGCGTGACATCTGTGATTGGATCTAAGGAGCTCGTCTCCTTGTTAACTGGTACACTGTAGCCTGTGGTGTGTCTGTACGGTCGCTGTGTTTCCTGTATCCACTGATGTAAATGATCTCAGTAAATCCATATTAAAGAGAAAAACTCCCGTCCTCTCCTTCACAGCGTATCTCTGTCTGTCCCACAGCAGGTTTGGGATCTTTAGTGGAATTTATTTAAAGCTTGAAGCACCTTTTATACCATTTACGGCCTGCACACATCCTTGTTCCCGCTCTTTCTCCATAATGTGTTCGTGCTGCAGACGTCAGCAAAGTTACAGTCACAGTACTTGCACATGTAGCTAGGGCTGAGGAAGAGGAGGAAACTCCAAATCCAGAGGAGGTGGAGACTTTAAATAACCAACAACAAGCAAAACATTCTGTGGAGAAGCAGCACCACACATCTGCAGGGTGAATATACCAAACCCAAGCTTTGTACCATTAGAGCACACTGTTTGTACTGCAGACACTGAAGCTCTGAGCAGCCACGTCTTGCTAGCAAAGCTAACGACTGAGGTGATGTTGGTGAGTTTTTAGCTCTTCTTGCACTCAGCATGTGTAGTAAACCAACTACTTTCTTCTTGGATATTCAAAAAGCTGAGTTTGCACCATAAACATTTTAAGGATGGTCAGCTGGGAAAGGGTGGAGTGCCCACTCCAGGTGGGGACGAGTTCCTGGTCCAAGTGGAGGAGTTTAAATATCTCGGTCTTGTTCACGAGTGACGGGAGATCGACAGACAGACTGATGCTGGTGCAGCGATGCGGACGCTGCACCGGTCCGTCGTGGTGAAGAGAGCTGAGTGTAAAAGCGAAGCTCTCGATTTGGAGGTCGATCTACGTCCCTGCCCTCACCTACGGCCACGAGCTGTGGGCAGAGACCGATCCCACAGCTCGTGACCGTAGGTGCGGATGGCGTCTCTCATCTGTCTTGTCAGGTGTTTTTAAAAAAGTAGATCGATTAAGGTTTTAAACAGACTAAAATATACAAACGTTTTTATTCAAACACATTTCCCATTTAAAATAATAAAAAAACAACATGTTGACATTTTTACGTGTAGTGTAACATTTCAATAAATTCAAAATTTAATAAAACTATGAGATTCTTTACTATAAAAACAGACTAATAAACTGTATTACAGTGTTGAACCACACTGAGGGTAAATGTTTCGTCTTTACACATGTAAATACTTTTTATTTGAAAGATTTCATGTAAATTTAAAGCTACAAATATATTATATTTTCTGTACCATAAAAAACTTCTCCATATTTTAATTACCAAAATTACAAACTGTTAAAGTTCCACTACTGTACGATATTTTTCTGTCAGATTATTTTTGTTTTGTTTTATTTTTACAGAATTTTACAGATTATTTCCCTTTTTAAACAATGCCTGTATTTATATAGCACTTTACTCGTCCCTAAGGACCCCAAAGCGCTTTACACATCCAGTCATCCACCCATTCACACACAGGTGATGGCAGCTACAGGGCCGTGCAGAGA